GAACAAGGAGAAGCCCCTGCACTAAATGAGGAGGCAAACCAAGCAACCTTGGAGGAATTTGACCTCTCCAGTGATGAGGTCAAAAGGTGTCTGCTGGAGCTGGATGTGACAAAGGCTATTGGGCCTGACAGAATCTCACCATGGATACTAAAGGAAGGTGCAGAAGCACTAAGTGTGCCACTCTCTATGGTGTATAACAGGTCACTGGAAACAGGAGACCTACCAGAAAGTTGGAAGACAGCTAACGTAGTCCCAATATACAAGAAGGGTGACAGGCAAGAGGCACTGAACTACAGGCCAATTTCCCTAACTTGTATACCATGCAAGGTGATGGAGAAGATCGTGAGGAAAAGGCTCGAAGAGCATCTGGAGGGAAAAAGCTTTGTAACACACCACCAACATGGGTTCAGAGATGGTAAATCGTGCCTCGTAGGTTTAATAGAATTCTATGACCAGGCAACAAAAATTAGGCAGGAAAGAGAAGGGTGGGCAGACTGCATTTTCCTGGACTGCCAGAAAGCCTTTGACACAGTACCCCATAAAAGGCTGTTAAAAAAGTTGGAGCAACAGGCAGGAGTAAAAGGGAAGGTGCTCCAGTGGATAAGGGAGTACTTAAGCAACAGGAAACAGCGAGTAACGGTGAGGGGGGAGACATCAGAGTGGCGAGATGTCACCAGCGGAGTCCCACAGGGTTCAGTACTTGGACCCATCCTGTTTCTAATATATGTAAACGATCTTCCGGAGGGTATAGAATCATTCCTCTCAATGTTTGCTGATGATGCAAAAATTATGAGAAGAATCAAGACGGATGAAGATAGACAGAGACTACAGGATGACCTGGACAAACTGGAGGAATGGTCTAGAAAATGGCTGCAAAAGTTCAACTCAGGAAAGTGTAAGGTGAAAGAAAATGTAAGAAAACTAAGCGAAGGGAGCAGGAGGCTGAACACAAGGTACCATCTGGGAGGTGAAATCCTGCAAGAGTTAAATAGAGATAAAGATCTGGGGGTTGATATCACACCGAACCTGTCCCCAGAGGCCCACATCAAAGGAATGTCATCAGCGTCATATGCTAGACTGGCCAACATAAGAACTGCCTTTAGAAACTTGTGTAAGGAATCGTTCAGGACCCTGTATACCACTTATGTCAGACCAATCCTGGAATATGCAGCTCCAGCCTGGAGTCCATACCTAGTTAAACACAAGACAAAGTTAGAGAAGATTCAGCGGTATGCCACCAGCCTCGTCCCGAAACTGAGAGGTATGAGCTACGAGGAAAGGCTAAATGAGCTGAACCTCACGTCCCTGGAAAACAGAAGAGTAAGGGGAGACATGATAACCACCTACAAAATTCTCAGAGGAATTGACAGGGTGGACAAAAACAAACTCTTCAGCACGGGCGGGACACGAACAAGGGGACACAGGTGGAAACTTAGTACCCAAATGAGCCAGAGACATTAGAAAGAATTTTTTCAGTGTCAGAGTAGTTAATAAATGGAATGCACTAAGCAGTGATGTGATGGAGGCTGACTCCATACACAGTTTCAAATATAAATATGACAGAACCCAGTAGGCTCAGGAACCTGTACACCAGTTGATTGACAGTTTGAGAGGCGGGACCAAAGAGACAGAGCTCAACCCCCGCAAGCACAACTAGGTGAGTACACAGAGCGACACAAACCGCCAGGTTATCACTGGGTCCATCTGAGACGAGCCTCGCCTCCTCTCTACTCTGTTATGTTAGTTTTTGTTCCCAGAATTGAAGGACTGAGATGTTCGCGAGTCTTAACACGACTAATGTTTTCTTCTGAGTGGGTAGGCACGTAGCCCCCTGAGAGAGGGGAGGTGGGGGTGGGGGTGGGGGGGGGGGGGAGAGATGTTGCAGATAAAGGAAATTAGGTCGGAAGTTATTGTACATGAGACAACCGCCGGTCAGAAAGGTGGGGTCCAAGAGCTAACAGCTCACTCCCTGCAGCGATAGAGTGAATACAAATAGTAGAACGCGCGCGCGCACACACACACACACACACACACACACACACACACACACACACACACACACACACACACACACACACACACACACACACACACACACACACCTGACAACTGACTCAGTGGGGCCTGACGGCTGAGTGGACAGCGCTCGGAATTCGTAGTCCTAAGGGACCGGGTTCGATCCCCGGCGAAGGCGGAAACCAATGGACAGAGTTTCTTTCACCCTGATGCCTCAGAGTCTGTTGCTTCCACTGGAGTAGGGGGGACAAGGGGTGTCTGGGGTGGGGGAGGGCCTTGGAAGGAGGACCTGGGGGGGGGTCTGGGGTGTAAGAGGGGGTGGGCTTGGGGGATCCAGTATGGGGAAGCTAGGGTTGGGGGTCTGGGTTTGGGGGTTTGAGGTTGGGGGTCTGGGGTTGGGGGTCTGAGGTTGGGGGTCTGGGGTTGGGGTCTGGGGGGGTCTGGTGTTGGGGGGGGGTCAATTAGAGCATGGAAAGGGGTAGCAGGGGAGCATGTAGTGGGGGGGGAGTAGGGAGGGAAGGGGGGGCTTTCTCATCTTTCTCATACAGCATTTTTCTCATACAGCATCTTTCTCACACAGCATCTGAGATCAAAGTATTTTGCCATCTGTGGAGGTCATGACCAATCAGATTCAGATAGGAGATAAGATCACCTCTTCCTCTGAATGTAATGAGAGTCAAACAGTCTTGTTGAACAGTGAACAGTTGAATGTTGAACAGCTACTGAACAGCAAAAGTCAGCAGTTGCCCTGCAACCACTGGCCTCTCTGATGATCTAAGCCAGTGATTCCAAACGATGGTTTACTGAGAGTTTTTTTGTACTTAAAAAAAGTACAATTTGCCAGTTTTTGTAATTTTTAGTACAAAAATTAATTAATAAATTATTCAATTATTTGACGTATTCACAAAACAATGAAACATTTCGAAAGTTAGTTTGGGTAGATGGTCACGTGATAAGTTATTAAGCATGGAATGAGAGTTGTACTTGGGAGAAATTGTGTTGAGGCGGAGAATTATTCAGTAACCAAACTGAACTAGCAAAGAACATTGCATATGTTGACCAGACCACACACTAGAAATTGAAGGGACGACGACGTTTCGATCGACTTGAGAATGGTCCAGGACGGACCGAAACGTCGTCGTCCCTTCAATTTCTAGTGTGTGGTCTGGTCAACATACTTCAGCCACGTTATTGTGACTCATCGCCTGCAACATTGCATATGTTACTGTGGGCTTAAATGGAGTTACAGTAGCTGTTACAGGCTACCTTACCTTGAGGTTACCTTGAGGTGCTTCCGGGGCTTAGCGTCCCCGCGGCCCGGTCGTCGACCAGGCCTCCTGGTTGCCGGACTGATCAACCAGGCTGTTGGACGCGGCTGTTCGCAGCCTGACGTATGAGTCACAGCCTGGTTGATCAGGTATCCTTTGGAGGTGCTTATCCAGTTCTCTCTTGAACACTGTGAGGGGTCGGCCAGTTATGCCCCTTATGTGTCTGTTTATGAAAGCCTTTCATAACATTACATGCCCACTGTATCCCCAGACGGAATGCAATTCTTGAAACGTCAGAGAATGAGAAAGGAGTTACAAAATACCTACGGGCTCACCATAGCCCGTGCTACTTGGAACTTTTTGTTCCAGGTAGCGAATCTTTAACAACAACAACAACAACCTCAATGGAGGTATTTTGTTATAGAGGCTGGAGGGGGGGGGGGGTTTATAAGCGATCGCGGTATTGAAACATAATGAGATAATTTCACAAAGGTCATGAATGAGCTTGTTCAACAGTACGGGCCAAGGAGATGAGAAATCAAAAGATCTAAATTAATGACAAAGGGATATGACCCCTCAAGTCATTTCAGGTCAAACTGAATATTCCTATTGTTATGGAAAATTATATTTTAATAAATATATGTTTAATAAAAATTATAACATAATATTATATTAAGGAAAACCCAGCACTCCCCAAAGCAACGAGACTTGAAACTATCGAATCCTTTATAACTAACTTAATTAGGGTCTCACGAGCACTGTACTTGCACTGTTGGGTCTGTGCAAATGTCAACATGCCGCACTGTAGCAGCCTGTAGAATACAGAGTCAACAGAAGCACAAAGGCTACTAGCGTGAGACTAAACTACAGTTTGTTCCACACATTCAAAATTATCTGCAATACAACCTGTCACTAATGCACTAAAAAACAGAGTAGTTTTCTGTGATTCAGAGTCAGGTCTTCGAGCACTTAAAACCCAATATGCAAAATAGATGCTAATGATGTTTTAACATTCATTATATACCTACTATGAGATACGTTGAGCACTCTGACTACTTCATACACTCACGAATATTGGAAGATATTCTTGTGCTCTAACCCGAGTTTGCTACTGCAGACTAAACTCTCATTTCATGTTCTCTCCTGATTCCATGTACGACTCATCATCCTGTGAGATGGGGATATTAGATGAACTCATATCTAGCGTTTGATCTACACTGTAATCCGTCATAATCCGTTTATCATCAAGGCAAATGAGGGGAGGGGAGCTTTCGACAAGCCGCCGGCTTCCTGTCCTCGTCGAAGCCACTAGGGTTAGCGGCCCTCAGGTAAATCAGGTATAAAAAAAATACGTTAGCAGAACATGGCTGTCCTAAGGGGGGAAAAAATACTCAAAATTGTGTGGTTTTAGTTATATTAAAAATTCACTATCTTCTGTTATTTTCTAATTTGAATTTATACATAGAAAAATACGCGCAATGTTCTTCTTGTATATAGTGCGATATAATTTCAAATATTAAGTTCATCAGTAACGATTACATTTATCTTCGTAGTCCCTCAAGCATGAAACGAACGCAAAGAACGGGAATTTAGTCGTATATCTTCCTGTAAACCGTACTAACTATATACATTGAAACACTTTTTTTTACTATATTGTATTTAACAACACATTTTTCATACTTAGTTAGGCTTCAATTCAGCTTGGATACCATAAATATAAATATTTATCCGTCATCTGTCTCTCCCACGTTGGGTTTGTTTTGGTGGCAGACCCCGACCTCCCAGTTATTGAAATTTAGGTAAAATAAACCACTTTGCACCCAGGCAGGCCAACTTTTTCTCCATATCTCACTAGCTGGGTACAGCAGCTTAATTCTTACAGGGTGTAGTGTGGTATTTGATGAGTGTAGGAGGGTTGTATTGAAGGGTGGGAGGTGGTGGTTTGATCCAGCCGGTGTGGGTGTTGGGGCCGCTGCCAGCTGTATTCGCCTAGTATCCTGCCCCCTGATGTATAATTAGTACGGTATATTGTAGTGGCTAGTGTAGGTTACAGGCCGGCGAGGAGGTTAGTAGAGTAGGGGGGAGGGGAGAATTAGTTTCCTGTATAATAATGATTAGCTGTAACGTGGGAGTTGTGACGGCCAGGCCTCGTTTAAATGGCTGGGTATTTAATTACCAAAGTCTAATTACCTAAGTTTGTAATTACCTGTGTGTGTGTGGCATCAGCTTATTGAAGGAGATTTTGCGCCCAGACTTTACTGATTGCATTATGTTGGCATAGATTTTGTTTATATCCTTATTCATATAGGGTATGTTAGGTTAGGAACATTGAACAGGGGGCAGCAACCTGAAATCATGAATTATTTCTGTTTGTGTGTGCTATGGAAACATAATGCGCAAATTTTAAATCGGGTTGTTTTGTATTTTTGGAATATCTATGGTTAAATTATTGCTGTGGTATTCTGAATAGTGTATTATTGGTTATTAACCAGGCCTATATTAAACAAAGAACATTTACTGCACTTCTTAATTTGGTCTGGCCAAATGTAGAGTATTTACAGATTATAAATTTACCTAAGGACCACCATCTCTAGTGGTCTTGATGTGGACAAGATGCATGTATTTTTTATTTATATATACAAGAGTTCTTACAGTCTTGTACAGCTACTAGCACGCATAGCCTTTTGGGCAAGTCCTTAATCCTAATTTTTACACACACACACATCCCCAGGAAGAAGCCCGTTGGAGCTGTCTTAACTCCCAGATACCTTTTTTTATTATTATTATTATTATTATTATTTGTATATACAAGAGTTCTTACAGTCCTGTACAGCCACTAGTATGTGTAGCGTTTTGGGCAGGTCCTTAATCCTATGTTCCCTAGAATATGACGCCCGCGAAGAATCGTTTTTATAATCAAGTACCCATTTTACTGTTGAGTTAAACAGAGGCTACAGTTAACTAAGGATTTGTGCCCAGTAAATCCTCCCCGGCCAGGATACGAACCCAGGACAAAGCGCTCATGAAACGCCAAACGAGCGTCTTAAAGATATGGAAGAAAATGCAGAATAGAACCAGTGAAGAGCAAAGGTGCCATAGGCACAATCAGAGAACACTGTATAAACATCAGAGGTCCGCAGTTGTTCAACGTCCTCCCAGCAAGCATAAGAAATATTGCCGGAACAACCGTGGACATCTTCAAGAGGAAACTAGATTTATTCCTCCAAGGAGTGCCGGACCAACCGGGCTGTGGTGGGTATGTAGGTCTGCGGGCCGCTCCAAGCAACAGCCTAGTGGACTAAACTCTCACAAGTCAAGCCTGGCTTCAGGCCGGGCTTGGGGAGTAGAAGAACTCCCAGAACCCCATCAACCAGGTATCAACCAGGTATCAACCACTACGCCACGGAGACTGTACTATTTACAGATCTACTCTGCCACGGAGTAGTACCTATTTACTACTAGGAAAACAGGTGCATCAGGGTGAAAGAAACTCTGCCCATTTCTTTCTGCCTCTACCAGGGATTGAACTCAAGACTCTTAAAACTACAAACCCCAAGCGTGTCCACTCAGCCGTCAGGCCCCATGTGATAATTCTCTCTATCTATTTTTTAGATGAATCTCAAAAATATTATCTTTTTTATAAATAATATTTTTTTGCAAGGAATTCCTTAAGACATAAAAATTATTTCCAGGGTTCCATAAGAGTGAAAAGTTTGAGAAATGCTGATTTAGATGTTTGTACATATATCCTTTTTCTTGAAACCTCTATTCACTTAACAATATACAGTATAAATACAGTACCTAGGAGTTAAACAACTACTGTATTTTGGGCTACAGCAGTTTTCCAGTAGCTGAATCTAGAACAACAACAACAACAAATGAAGAAGGTCAGTCTTTGGCCTCAGGCAGTGATTCTCCATCCAGGGTTCTGCGGAATACTGGGGTTTCATGAGAATGTGTCCGGAGTTCCGCAAGAAGTTGCAAAAGCCCAGGTTGCACATTAGATTAAGAGACAATTAGTATCAATGTTATTCTGTTGAAATGTGTTATTTTCAATTGTGAATGTATTATAAAACAATAGAACGTAAATTTTTGTTCATTAACAACTTTACGAAAACAATTGTATTAACACAGAATCATTATAAAATATACACAATGTTTGCAACCATCAAGCCAGATGTAAAGTGAAAATTTTTGTAATTTTTTATATTAATAAAGCAGTATTTAATAAAGCAAAATAGGAAATAAATACACTTGTAATATAAATTGTCATCCACACTCCGTGGAAATAAACATTCCATTCACCTGGGCTGTATGGGTCTCGAACTGAGGACCCCCACGTGTGTGAGACCGAAGCTCTATCAACTGGGCTATGAGTAGTCTTAAAAAGGAAAGTTTCCAGAAACAGCTTCCAGCTGCCATACTGGAGTTTTCTGATTTTCGACTTTTCGACTTTTGACTTTTCGACTTTCAGTACACTTGTAATATTTTATTTAGAGTAAATTATTATTTATTAACCCAATTGCTTTACATGTCTTATTTTGTAATTTACCCCTTTCAGCTAAGTAGGGGGTCTCCCAAGAACTTGCAAAATATTTATAATAGGATAGGATTCAAGGGGTCTTCCGAACTAAAAGGTTGGGAATTGCTGCCTAGTGGAGCCTCGGTGGGTCTTAATAGGATTCCTGTCCATGGCTCTTGATATCTTTATGTGTTCAATGTAGGTCATAGCATTGTCGCTATCCTTCACCATGCTGGGCTGGGGTGGTGGTCCTCAATATTGCAGGTTCACACCAACATTCTGGAAATGCTGATTTTAATAACTCAAAAGTATCACACTCCTTAGGAGCTCGGCTGGAATCCTAGATGCTGTTCCCCGGTGTCTTGTTTCAAAGGGGTGGGGGTGGGGGAATTTCCTCTTAAATCCCTCTTTCTGTGGTGCTGGATGCTGTCCATAGCTTTTCTTTTGAATTCTCTGGATATATTTCCCCATATTAGTCCACATTCAAATGTGTTAGCACAGTGCCTGTCTCACTTCTGCCCAGTTTAACATTTTCCATGTAAATTTGTGTCAGAAGGTATCACAAGATCCCTATGTATGATGCTTCATTCCACAAATGCAATGTTTTTGCATTGGATGCTCTGCATTCATGACTGAAACTATTTAGTGGGAGTTGGCTCATCTGTTTCCTCTGGTCCAGATGATTTTGATGTTCTTGAAATTGGAGAACTTAGTGGGTCATGTGATTCTACCCTCTCCACTAGAACCGATTAAGCCCTAGTTCCTGGTCCTGCCCTCGAGGTGCCCCCTGGCTATCTTCCCTACCCCTCGTGCAGAAGGTCGGTAGTCGGTGTTACATGGTCTTCATGCAAAATGTTGGCAGTTTGTTATATGTTCCTTTCCCTAGACTTCATGCTGAAGGTTGACAGTCAGTGTTACATGGTGCCATCCATACTGTCGGCCTATCCTTGCATGTGGAGTTTCTTTGGTAGAATTGCTATTGTCTTAATAGAAACAGCTGGTGTTGATCCTCATTCAACGTCTTCAAGCCCCTTCTCTGTCACCAGTATGAGGTGCTTGGGCTAGCTCTCCATTTGTATCTGGTGCTCCACTAGTTATCCTTGTTCTGTTGCTTTTATTTTCGTCACATCGTTCTTACTATGTTCCACTGAACTGAACACCCAGCTCTTTTTTTTTATTTTTTTTTATAAGGCACTAGACATTCTTAGTTCTGATTGATTTAGGGAGTACTGTATTGTCTTCATTTTAAACCTCACTCTGAAGACACTTTCTGGTGGCCCTTGCTACTCGCAATAGGGTCAGTGAGCTTCTTGCTCTCCTGCATCACTCAGGGTTCACCTCATTTGATAGAGGAGGCACTTTTGATCAGCTCCTTCCGACATACCTTGTGATGGTTCCAGGAATCATTATTTTAGGCCATAAATAACACTTGTGCAGTCTGGAAAAATGCCTGCTTTATCTGGCTACTCATTCACTATGTTCTCTATCTGGCAGTCTCAGACTGAGTCCTTGTTCCTGAACTCCTGCACTATACAACAATGTTCTGTGCTATGAAGACATCGTAGACCTTTCACTCACGACCTTTCAAAAGTTCTCCACATTAAAAGCATTTTTCTCAGTGATGTCCTGTACTGACAACAGAGCTTCAAGTTCTGGATGATAACTGCATTTTGTGTCCTGGAACCTTTCCAATATCCACCCTCCTGTGTTGTGAAAGTGCAGCTTTCAGTAGCCTTTCTTCTTGATCGCTGATGTCTCTTCTGGTTGGGATTTATGCACAGTGGTGTGCGGCCCTCACTTCTGCTAGATGCTTCTGTCCATGCAACTTTCTTTTGACATGACTTTTGACATGACAGCCAGCACAAGAGAGTTGAACCCAGTTGGCTTTTATTCCTACTTTTATATGATACTTTCCGTTAGGAGCATCCACGTGATATATAGAACAACAGCAAAAATGGGACACTCATTTGTTCCAGTGCCCTCTCTTCTGTCCATTCTTTATTGTTCATTTTTTCCAGTCAGGTAGCAACAGCCATCTTGTGGCCCAACCATTAGGTTAAGGAGAACATTGCTTAGTGGTTCTTATGTTGCCAAGAAATTGTTTAGAAGGGCTTTGGAGTGATTGTAAATGCCCTTTTTTTAAGTCATATAGGCTGCACATTAAGAAATTTAAAAAAATATTCCCAACACCAGCATGATTGGTACTGTAATAATAGTGGAACAAAAATCAATGTTGTACTGAGGCAGAATGTCAATCTACCCCGACCAAGCACAGTCCTCTTCATGGGACTAGTAGGATCGTGCCTTTAGGGAGCAGCTGAGTGTCTTACTCAGAGTGGCACTTTTTAGGCATTTATATTTTATCAACAGGTCGGGCCCAAGAGCAAAAGGATAACCTTTGGTTTCATTCTCGATTCATAATTTTGAATCTTGGATTTGAATCCCGGGTGAGACAAAAATGGTTAGGCACCTTCCCTTTCACCTAATGCCTTTGTTCACTTAGCAGTAAATAGGAACATGGGAGTTGGTCATCTGATTGATTTGATTGGCGCTGCTGAAGGCGGCTTGTTTATTTTGCACCCTATACTTATCCTGTAAATGGTAGCTCGAAAAAAGATTATAGAGGGCACAAAAGGTCTTTATCAGACCCCAACAGAAACAGCAGCAGCTTTCCTATGGCCCTGTAGTCAACTGTGTTGGGGTTGCATCCTGGGCAAGGTCAGTACTGTAGTTCGACTTTTGGGGAACTTCAGTGTAAGACTAATGTGTATATACAGTAGTACATACAGGCTGCTTGTTCTTGACAAAATGAATTATAATGTCTCGGGAAAAACAAAAATTCTATAAAAAAATGCTTTTGCGTATCCTATTGTTGTATGTTGGCCTCCTTAAGATTACACAATAGTTGTACTGTGCTGTAGTAGGAAGAAGTGTTACTGGTGAGCTGCTGAAATGGTGACTTCACTGGAACCTGAGAGTTGGCATATCTTGAGGTTATCTTGAGATGATTTCGGGGCTTTTTAGTGTCCCCGCGGCCTGGTCCTCGACCAGGCCTCCACCCCCAGGAAGCAGCCCATGACAGCTGACTAACACCCAGGTACCTATTTTACTGCTAGGTAACAGGGGGCATAGGGTGAAAGAAACTCTGCCCATTGTTTCTCGCTGGCGCTCATATGTACGCTGAGCAGTACCTATTCATGATGTGAATGAGGAGGAGTAATCACAATACAGTATATGATTACTGTACTGCTCATGTAGGTGTGAGTGGTAGGTGGATGCAACATCTGTGAATATGGTATTGAAGGCGCCTGCAATCTCAAAATCTCGTTTATGAGATTGCCTCAAAATTTCTGTATTAACCCTACAGGGTATATTAGTAAGTTGAAAGATGATGATCAGTTAAACCTGATCTCCCCATTGTGGTCCTTTCATGGGGGGAAAATATATGATCCACTCTTCTTCTGATTGATTGGTATTTCTCACGACCATGTTCATATGGCACCATTACTTGTTGGCCTGTTACAGTAAGTATTTCCATTGTGAATATACAGTGCTACTGTACAGTATTTTCTAATTTTTCAATTTGTCTTGCTCTTGACTTTGCCTCTTTTGTTAAATCAATTCTCTTACATACCTAAGTAAGTGATCTTTAGTCTTTCCATACTTCAGGTTTAATATTTTAGAGAATTCTGAATATTTTCCAGAATTTTAAGAATTCTGGGCTCGAATTCCGGGCTGGACAAAAATGGTTGGGCATATTTTCTTTCATCTAATGCACCAATTCACCTAGCAGTAAGTAGGTACTCAGGAGTTAGTCAGCTTGTTGTGGGATTGCATCTTGGGCGGGGGTCAGTAGTTCGACCTTAGAGGGGTAGGCGACCTCGATAAAGGTTTAATGTGTATGAATACACTCTCGCTTCCTGTCCCTCGACACGATGAATTATTGTAATAAAAACTAAATAAGCATATAGAATACTTGCTCCTGTTTTTGTGAACTAAGTCAGCCTTTGAAATTCTGTATTAAATTTGGCATTAAATGTTCATTCATATTCTGTTGAACATTAGAAAATAAATGGAATACTTGGGCAAGATTCCACTTGTACTCTCCAAGAATGGAACTTTCCTAAGAAGCATCTTGTAAAAAGACTGTCTTTTTAGATTTTTTTTTTTTAAAGATTACCATTAGTATGATATGCAAGAGTGTATAATGGTTGGGGTTGTCCTTGTACAGCCAGAAACATTACCAGTGCTTGATACAGTACAGTACATATGGAACTTTTAGTATTTGTCTAAGCCCAAAAGAAATACAATACAGTATACACAGAAATCACAATAGCGTGATGAATGAATCACGCTATTGAATAAAATGAATAAAATCATCCCGTCTGGGATCATCCTGAACGTAGGTTCGAACCCTCATCAGGGCCCTTGTGGATTTGTTTACAGTACAGTATGTTTTATTCCCAGTAAGTTATGTGTAAGACAGACAGTAAAGAGATTATCTTTATGGAATACCAGTACTTATTACATTATTTTCCAGGATACAGTATGTATGTATGTATAAAGACTCATAGGTTATTTAGTAATGTTCTTTCACTTTTACTTTTTATTTAGCAAACAGAATATTAATTTTAAAATGTTTCTATTTTGTTTCTCATCATAGTAACTGGAAATGCCACCCAAAAAGGCTGCAGCTCCTGAGCCCCGGCCACTGATTGGCCGTGTGGGAACAAATCTGAAGGTTGGCATTGTTGGTCTTCCTAACGTTGGCAAGTCGACCTTTTTCAATGTCCTCACCAAATCATCGGCACAAGCTGAGAACTTCCCCTTTTGCACCATCGATCCAAATGAAAATAAGTATCCAGTATTATATTTGTTTGCTGTCCAGTACTGAATAGTTAAGTGTCTATGGTAGAGATTACCTAGGTTTTTCATAAGATTTTGTTTCCTTCAATATTATGTGCATACAATATCTAGAAAACAATATCACACCAATCTATACTTATCACAGCATCCTGTTTGCATCTCAAGGTATGACACCACAGGGGTACCTTTCTCGCTCACGCTCATGTTAATGAATGGTACTAGTTTTATCTAAGGTGAAGATATAGATTACTAGTACAGTACATATATTTCAGTGATGTAAAGTCCTGTGTGAAAATTCCATCAAATAATTTAATTTTTGCTCTCATTTGTGAATCGTACAGAGAAGTGCCCTCAAATGTCAGTGAGAGTTGAGAGCTTGGTGGCTATATGTCGATTGTTTGTGGAAGAATTGCTGCACCTTATGGCAGATATGCACACACTGAGCTACAGGTGCTTGGTGACACCCTGGCATCCCCCAAGGAAGGCAAGCCCCAGTATCCACCCCATACATAGAACCAACTGAAAGACTATCTATCAACACCTAATGGCCATAAATGATAATGCATCAGGCTTCCTGTAACTGGATAGCTGAGTAAAGTTGAAGCCAAACAACTAAATTCTGAAGGCCTCCCCCCCCCCCCAATACTGTACTCTAAACCCAATCAGATTTATTCAGCAACTTTTTCCAGTGAGGTCCAGTAGAGCAAAAGCAAGGTGTCTACCACACTGATGGCACACCAAGAGTCCCAGAATCTGCCAACTCCCGGTACCTCTAGGCCAAGCTGCCACTGATCACCATCACTCCATCTGAAGAACCAACCAGAAAACAGAAACAAGAAAAAAATCTATCTTTCCTGTGACCCCAGGTGATGATAAGGGTGCCAGGCATCGAAAAGTAGGCTGTTGAAAAGGAATGCCAGATGGCAGTCTCATGACCCAAAGGACAATAATTGCATTCTGTTAGCTGGTTTCCCTCAGGTAGAGCAGGCATCCAAATGTCTATTCAACATCAAGGTTGAACCTGGAATCTGTATCAGAACTTATGAGCCTGAAAATTACAGTGGAATCTCGGTTTTCGAATGCCCCTGTTTTCGAATTTTTCGGTTCTTGAGCTCAATTTCTTAAAAAAAAATTGACTCAGTATTCGAGTTTGTTGATACACACATGGGCCTACCAAGCACATGGCGCACTTCAGTTTACTAGCATCTCCCGCCTACGACAGCGTTTGAATGCTTTGTGAAGAATTTCATTGTTTTTGTGCTTTTTTGGTTTCTGAACATAAAAGTTCTTATTATATATCACACCATGAGTTCCAAGAAAGTTAATGGTAAAGTTCAACCTAAGAAAATAGTTGTGAGGATGATGATAGAGAAAAAACAAGAGATCATTCAATGTGAGACAATGTGATGTCTCACTACAGACAAGTGTTAAAACAAGGAAAAACAAGTGTCTATAGACAGATTCTTAGTAAGACAAGCAAGCAGTGAGTCACAACAAGATCCTAGTGGTATGGCTGTGAAACGTAAGAGATAGAGTACCCCAGAAATGTCATCACTGCTATTATAATGAAAGGTGACTCCCCTTCCAAACAATAACACCTCTACTCCTCCCCCCTTTCTCACTGTCTTCATATGCCAACAAGAGTCCTCAATAAAGGTAAGATATACTTGTACATAATGTTGTACAAAATATAAGTACAGTCTGTAGTAGTATGTGTAAAATGTATTTTTAAGTTAATATTTTTGGGGGTGTGGAACAGATTAATTCAATTTACATTAATTCTTATGGGAAAATTTGTTTCGTTTTTGTAATTTTCGGTTTTCAAACCGTCTCTGGGAACGGATTAAATTCTAAAACGGAGGTAGCACTGTATGTAATTAACTTCGGGGTAGTGTTCTTTCTGTCCTTGTGTATGACTAAGGTCTGGTTTATCTCAACAAGTAATTAGAAGGGTAGAAAAGGATACAAGTAATTTTTAGCTGAACCAGAGTCTGTTATACAGTATACCCATCAAATTCAACCTTGTCTTATAAAGGTAGTTTTGTAATGCCAAGGGTTAGTTTGGTTGAGATGCTGAGATCATAGAGGAAATCTATGAGGTGTTATATGGTGGATTAATTTGGTATTGGAAAAGTGTTTACCCCACACTGCTCCAGTCACTTTTGCGATTTCGTCTTGTGCTTCATTCGCCATATGTGATTAGGGGGAGCCGAGCGGACAGCACGCTGGAATTGTGATCCTGTGGTCCTGGGTTCGATCCCAGGTGCCGGCGAGAAACAATGGGCAGAGTTTCTTTCACCCTATGCCCCTGTTACCTAGCAGTAAAATAGGTACCTGGGTGTTAGTCAGCTGTCACGGGCTGCTTCTTGGGGGGTGGAGGCCTGGTCGAGGACCGGTCCGCGGGGACACTAAAAAGTCCCGAAATCATCTCAAGATAACCTCAAGAAGATCCTCTTGTGTTTTAAATTGTCATCCGTGATTTATTCCTCTACCATACTTGATTTGTCCTGAATTGATTTGTTGACTACTGCATTTTCAAATAACCACAACTCGATGGAATACTTTTGAGTAACCTGGTCATTGGAAGGTTAATGAGAATGAATGCAATACATGTGGTAATAAATTGTTTGGGGGAAGCTTGTTAATTTTAGAATTTTGTGAAATAAAAATGCTACACCTAGTACACGCAAAAGCCATTATCATAACTGTTGTTTTCCTCTGCACGTAGGGTACCTGTACCAGATGAGAGATTTGAGTTCTTGTGTCAGTTCCACAAACCTGTCAGGTATGTTTGTATTTTTTTCATAGTTTTCTACTTTATAATATTGTTTGAGCCATGAGTTATAATATTGTTTGGACCATGAGTTAGGTGGGAGGTGGAGGGGAGGATTTGACTTGTTAGGCCTAAGACTATTTACCAATACTGTATTGTGAGGTATGCTAACATTTTGACCAGGGATGCCTCTCCTGATTACCTAAAATCTTTAATTGGAAGAAATCAATCTTAGTTTACTTTCTGTATCCATCCTGAATTGCCGTTTAGAAGTTAGCCTGCGGTAATTTATTAATCTATGTTCTTAGTTTTCTAATATAGATAATTGTTACTTTTACCAATTAATCTTCTGTGGATTTTTAAATATATATAATTATTAATAATTGTATGCAGATCTCATAAGCACACATTTCTTTTCTTTTTTTTTGTAGCAAAGTTCCTGCATTCTTGAATGTGACTGACATTGCTGGCCTAGTGAAAGGTGCAGCCGAGGGGCAAGGCTTGGGAAATGCCTTCCTCTCTCACATCAAGGCCTGCGACGCACTCTTTCATCTAACTCGTAAGTTGGGTTACATTACGTTTCTTTTTCGTTGTGCATCTGTATTGGATAACTGTTGAAGTGTAACAGCATAGTGTGGAAGGTGGTAAATCTTGTACTGTAGGTTCATTATCACTGAAGAAACGAAAACTGTTTGGCAATGTATTTATGCTGGATCGAGGATACAGTATTGTGGTTTTTTGTATTACTGTACAGAGTACTGTATTTATTTTTTCAACCATGTTTAATTACAGTTAAAGTGTCTTATTGATGAATTATACAATACATAATATACAGTACATAGGTTACTTAATACGTTATGTATGTTTTCTCAAACATTTTACAAAGTAATAGATTACTGTAATCCCTTCTCCATCTAAAAATAAAAAAGGATGTTGTTTTAATATTCTCTATACTTTTTTTTATGCTTGTCAGTATTCTTTGTTGTATCATTGGTGTTTTACGCAGAATCAAAGTGAATGATGGTTAACTTGACCCCTGATGATGAATGACAAGAATACTTGTAACCTTACAAGACAAGTGTCTTTTAAGGTCTTGATGTCAGGCAAGAACACTTGCTGTTCTTGTCATTGAACACTTGAGTGATCTCGTCATGTATGACGAGAACACTCAGATTTATTGTCATGTAGTGCAGAGAAACATTCTAGCTTGATACCCGAAAAGAGCTCTGAAATGTACATAAATGGCTTTTAGATTTACAGTATTATTTGTTTATGTGGATGTTTGCTTTTCAATCATATAAAAACTTATCATGCCATTCTGTTTATGATCCATATATATTTTGTATCATCCTACTTTCAAGACATACAGATCGTATTATCCTGTGTGTGTACACTATTTAGATCATTTCATCTTTTGCGTCATTCATATAGATCATATCATCCTTATGAGCCATACAGATTGTGTAATCCTTTTTATGTATAAAACTTTCTCATATTCTGACCTCCCTGAAACTTTAAATTTTGACTTTTTTTTTTATCATGGTTCATTTCATTGTAATTGATTCATTTCATTGTAATTGGTTCATTTCATAGTAAAAATAGGATATGTGCCATCTGATATCCATGGTGTACAGTATATGGTAACGGAAGACTATTTTATATAATCGGGTTTTATGTTACCTATTACAGGGGCATTTGAAGATGATGATGTGACTCATGTGGAAGGAGATGTTAACCCTGTTCGTGATTTGGAAATTATTCTTGATGAGCTGCGATTGAAGGTTTGTTATTTTGCCTTTTCTGTAACTTAGGTAAGAAATGGAATGTTGTGGCATCTTACCAACTGCTCTCGGAAAAAATAAAATTGCATGAGTATTCGTCTGATATCGACATACGTTTCTTTGCAGGATATCGAATATATCGAAGCAGTGTATGATAAGCTGTTTAAATTGGTGGAGCGAGGTGGAGATAAGAAGCTGAAGCCCGAGTTTGACTGTGTTTGCAAGGTTAGAACACTCTTGCAAGAGGAGAAGAAACATGTGCGATTTGCTGAGTGGGACAGCAAAGAGGTGAGTTTTGGTGTGGTCGTTGTGTGTGGTGATAATGGTGAGGGGGAATATAATGTTACTTGAAATTAGATTAAGAAAAATTCTTAGTTTCACTCATAAAAGTAAAATGTACAAATGTACGCAAATTTTCAAGTGTATATGAATAGTTTAGGTGTGGAATAGAAAGGTTCCTATGCAATTGCTCTAGGTACTTTGGGGAATGCATTCATTTGACCCCATGAATTTTAAGATTAAGAATTTATGGGAAAATGTGGAATAACTTTATTGACACAAAACTAACCACACTGTAATGTATTTGGAAACGAATAAATTGTGTAGAAATGGAAGAAACGAGTAAGGAATGTGTGATGACCAAACCACACATAAGAAGATGGAGATGTGAATGTGTGTGTTGGACTGTATTCACCTAGTTGTGCTTGTGGGGGGTTGAACTCTAGCTCTTTGGTCCTGCCTCTCAACTGTCAATCAACTGGTGTACAGAACCTATCATATCTACATTTGACACTGTGTATGGAGTCGGCCTCTATCACTGTGTGTGTGGGTACATTCTCTGCTTGCCTAAGTGTGCCTGTAGGACCAAATATCTACCCCTAGGCTCCACATATTTAGTTGTTGTTCATCTAATGTTGTGGCTTTCCAACCCACAAAAAATCTCTTCATATCTACATGCGAACTTGGATATGGTATTGGCCTTGCTTATCTCCTCTTCTAGTTCACTTCATTTACTCAATACTCTTAGGGTGAAGAAATATTTTCTTACATCCATATAGCTTATCAATGTCTCTAGTTTTCATTTATGCCGTATTGTTCTGCCATTGCACCTGCTAAACATCATGTGTGTGTGTGTGTGTGTGTGTGTAATTACCTAAGTGTAGTTACAGGATGAGAGCTACGCTCGTGGTGTCCCATCTTCCCAGCACTCTTTGTCATATAACGCTTTGAAACTACTGACGGTCTTGGCCTCCACCACCACCTCACCTAACTTGTTCCAACCGTCTACCACTCTGTTTGCGAAACTGAATTTTCATATATTTCTTCGGCATCTGTGTTTAGCTAGTTTAAATCTATGACCTCTTGTTCTTGAAGTTCCAGGTCTCAGGAAATCTTCTCCCTGTCGATTTTATCAATTCCTGTTACTGTTTGTGATCATATCACCTCTTTTTCTTCTGTCTTCTAGTTTTGGTATATTTAATGCCTCTAACCTCTCCTCGTAGCTCTTGCCCTTCAGTTCTGGAAGCCACTTAGTAGCATATCTTTGCACCTTTTCCAGTTTGTTGATGTGCTTCTTAAGATATGGGCAGAGGTTATCTTGAGATGATTTCGGGGGTTAGTGTCCCCGTGGCCCGGTCCTCAACCAGGCCTCCACTCCCAGGAAGCAGCCCGTAGCAGCTGTCTAACTCTTAGGTACCTATTTACTGTTAGGTAACAGGGGCATCTAGATGAAAGAAACATTTTGCCCATATGTCTCCGCCTCCACCGGGGATTGAACCCGGAACCTCAGGACTACGAATCAGAAGCGCTGTCCACCCAGCTGTCAGGCGCCCTGTGGTGCCAGGCACCACACAACTGCTGCATATTCTAGCTTTGGCCTAACAAAAGTCATGAACAATTTCTTTAGTATTTTGCCATCCATGTATTTAAAAGCAAATCTGAAGTTAGAAAGCGTGGCATAGGCTCCTCGCACAACGTTCTTTATGTGGTCCTCAGGTGATAGTTTTCTATCTAGAGCCACCCCAAGATCTCTTTCTTTATCAGAATTCTTTAAAGATATCTCACATAATTTATAGGTTGTGTTGGGTCTATGTTCTCCTATTCCACATTCCATAACATGGCATTTATTAACATTAAATTCCATTTGCCAAGTGGTGCTCCATGTACTTATTTTGTGTCCAGGTCTTCTTGAAGGCCATGACAATCATCTAAGTTTCTTATCCTTCCTATTATCTAAGCATCATCAGCAAACATGTTCATATAATTCTGTATACCAACTGGTAGAGCATTTATGTAGACAATAAACATCACTGGTGCAAGAACTGAACCCTGTGGTACTCTACTTGTGACATTTCTTCAGTCATTGCCTCTGATTACTGCCCTCATTTTTGTATCAGTCAGAAAATTTTTCATCCATGTTAGAAGCTTACCTGTCACCCCCTCCAATATTTTCCAGTTTCCAGAACAACCTCTTATGTGGCACTCTGTCGAAAGCCTTTTTTTAGGTCCAGATAGATGCAGTCAACCCAACCATCTCTTTCCTGTAAAATCTCTGTGGCTCGATCATAGAAACTGAGTAAATTCGATACACAGGATCTTCCAGATCGAAAGCCATACCATCTGTCTGATATTATATCATTTCTCTCCAGGTGTTTTATCCCATTTAGTTTTTATTATTTTTTCCAATACTTTCACTATTACACTTGTCAATGATACAGGTCTATAATTGATACAGGTGTGTGTGTGTGTGTGTATTCACCTAGTTGTATTCACCTAGTTGTGCTTGCGGGGATTGAGCTCTGCTCTTTCGGCATATTAATGTGAGAGGCTGCAAGACAAACATAATAAAAACCATGAAGACAAAGCTTGCAAATACCAAGGGTCTGCCATACACCATTATTAAACACATGGGTTACACTTTGTGCAGCTTTAGCACTTAGTTTGTATCATTAACATCACTGTGCTTAGCTTTGGCGAGTGTCTACATTGGTATCTACGAATCTGCTATGCTTGGATTAATTATAAGGTCTGGAATGTGTCATCGTTCAGTGCACATTTATTTCTTGGTCTCGTCATGAGTGACGTCTCTTGTGGTCTCCTTGATTTTTATAACATTATTGTGTCAATAGCCTACTTGAGATAAGGTTAGAGTAATCAAATCTTATATAATCTCAATAAGACTTGCCAAGAGTACTCAGGTGTTCATTCTCCTCAGGGAGACTGCATAAACTTGTAATATACATGTTAGTAAGGTTCAAAGAAAATGGTCTACATATTATAATATTTTGACCATGGATAGATATGTCAACTGAACCAAGAATCCCAATGTTACAAATATTCTTAGACACTGTCTCGACCCAAACTTTGTGTCTTCACGTGCACCTTGAGTTTATCAAAAGCTGTTTGTAAACCGTGTTGAATGAATTTGAAAAGCTTTGAAGTATCAATACAGATTTGTATTGAATAATTACTTAAACCAGCCCCCCCCCCCCAATCCCCAATATTTTTCGTAATTGATTTTTAATATTATTTAACTAAAAATTATGTAAGGAAGATGTAAGCTTGTGTCAAATGAGGTTTCTAATGCAGTTGTTCCCATTGTTTTCAGATTGAAGTGCTAAATAAGCACTTGCTTATAACCAGTAAACCTATGATCTACTTAGTGAACCTGTCTGAGAAGGACTACATCAGGAGGAAAAATAAATGGTGAGTACTCAGACTTATGTTGACACTTGAGTTGAGGTTGACCAAACTGCCTGTAATGAGATCTGGGCACTTGGGCACAGATTGGGGTATGGGGAGGGGAGGGACACACTGATCCTCCAAACCACTTCAAGGTAACGGAAGAATAGCAATTGCAAAATCTTGAGCAGTCTTCATATAACCTGTATTGATCTAACTTCTCTCGTTTGTTGTGTTGAAATTAAGATAAATCAAAATGTTGCATCAAATAACTTGGTTAACCATTTGAATGGGTCATCGCTTTTCCATATTTTAAACGTATATTAGTTAAAACATTTTGTAGGCTGCTTTGAGTGCCCTCTATTGGTACGTGTGTTATGCTATCTGTTGAATTAAAAATATATGTATATTTTTTAAATTGCTGTTAGAGCTTTTCAATAGAAAGTTTGGATTTGACATTAACCAAAATATTTGGTAAAAATGTTTTGAAAATGCTACCCTACTCTTGAGTATGAGAAAAGGTTGTATGATAAAGGGATAAAGGTAGATGGACTCAGGGTAGAGAAGGGAATATTTCCTAAAGTATTCAAAGTATAAACCTATTTTGAAAATATACAAATGAAGAGAAAAAAGTGGTAGCAAAGAATAGTAAATTTTACACGGAAATATCTGTAGCTATTTTGTTATATGGACAATGTATAGATTGAGATGTGTGGTTATGATCAGATTAGGCACAGAGAAAATATGAAACTTGGAATAAAAAATAAGTACGGGAAAGGCGTTTCGTAGAAACGACGAGAACTACACATTTCTAATACAGTAGTTGTGATTACAAGGGACCTTATGCACCTCTGTGTGATGGTGGAGAACTCTCCCATGAGGGGACTGTGATTAGATTGTTTTGCTTCCTGCCAAAAAGAAAAGCTTGATTAGGGAATCTGTTAACACCCAACTGCAAAGTGCTCTTTCTGAGATGAAAAGAAATAAGAACTAATGAACTACTTCAAGTAAAATGCAAAATGACTATAAAAAAAAAAGAATTCCTGACATGTCAAAATACTGTACTGCCTTCCCTTCATTTCCACTGCAAATTGTGTACTGTATTAACAAAACTCCCACAAGAAGGCAAAACGAGACTGGAATATCAGTCTCTCACCAAGATGCTACTGGTCTTATAACAAAGCTTTATGAAATACTTGTGATACTTTGCTAGTAGAACTGTGTCTGTCTTGTGGGGCTATTTTGGTCAAGATTCTTTTCCCTGAAATACCTTTGGTCTAGTTTCTTTGTGAAGTTTTGGATGCTGTATACAATTCTTCAATTTATTATGGCCACTTCAGTGATAAAGTACCAGCTTGTCAGGTACAATTTAATTGACTTTTGGTTGAAAGGGCAAGTAGAAACTTGGTTGAGTCAACCTATCAGCAGCAGCACCCATGATTTTATTGTGAAGTATTTTTATGTTTGGTTGGTCAAAAGTTCTATTTCTCAGCGTTGATTTAATTTCAACTTCGGATACTCTGGTATCTGATGTTATTGTAATCATACAGTCGACCCCCTATTATCTTGGTTAATCGATACCTCTGGGGTATCTTTAACTTAAATTCCTGATAACTGAAGAGAACATGTGCATTATAATTTCTCAGAAATATATTTTATTTTGGTATTGGTATGTATTTTTATAGATACATGCTAAAAATACCTGTAATAGCATTTTATAGGAATATACTGACATACATGTAAGAAAGATTTTTGTTTTGTTTTTAATGAGTGTATTCCAACTTACAGCAAAACTTTTCAGATAATTGAGCAAGATATGCTTCAGTAAATGGGGGTTGGAGAAGTGGATCTTGGCCTTTTATATCACACACAGAATCAGATAATGGGGGGTCTCTCTGTACTGTAGATAATGGGGGTCTCTGTACTGTATTCACTTTTCCTGTAATCTTGAGTATGTATATGTCAGTGCTGCCTTGTCCTCTTCATAGCTTATCTCTGACAGTCCAGCCCTCTTTTATTTGGCATTGTTGACCTCAGTAAGCAGGCTATGTCTTGTAACTCTAACAATGCTGCATGTGCCTATGTTAACCTTCTTAAGCATATTATACTACAGGTTAGTATTAGACTAATAGTTGTGAATAATGACAGCATGGTCCTTGTTTTCATAGTCTTCTGGTAGTTTTTCACAACCATGTAGTCTATGAGACCCTTCTCTTTGGATGTACTTTCCTTGCCAGGATTCACTTTAAACTTTACAAGAGGCCCTGTGTTTGCATCACATTTGCATCACACAGATACAAGACCTGTATTTGTTTTCCAATTTTGATATTGAGATCTGTTTCCTAGGGTATCTTTATCTGTATTTATGGCTTCAGAATTCCTTTTAGTTTCATGTATAACAGTTTGACTAAAGTTCCTTTGGGAAAGTTTCTGAAAGCACTGATATAGGGAGAAATTTGAAATATTTTTAATTCCAGGGCTACCTTTAAAGTGAGATACATATTGCAACATTACTGGTTCTTCTAATAACATGTTACGCTAGCTAACCCAAGTAGCAGGTGTATTAAGGTCATACACTGGTGGGGCAGTGAACGTGTATGGGGTTGGGTGGTCAAGCATTACCTAATTATCTTAAGCTCCACTCTCATCTCGTTAATTGATTCTGAGTTGGGTCAAAATCGTAATGTGAATCATTTAATATGGTATTAATTTTGTTGTCTGTAACCATCATCTTTGTAATCTTGCTGGCACTGGCACTTGTACAAGTGGATGAAGGAGTCTAGAAAGACACAATAAGATATTTTATATATAAAAAAACAAAACAAATAAATGTACAGTATTATTGAACATTTAAATCATCCTTGATTTCCATACAAAATGGATGTAATTTTGTACATATTAATGTATAAAATATTATATTGTATCTTAATTATAGGGAAAGAAACAAAAAATGGGTTATTGGCAAGCATAAGGTATGTGGTAGAGGTAGCATGGGTGTGATTTGTACTGTTGTCTGATCTCTGAGTGGTGCTACACGTGGCAAGGTTTTCGTTGATGTTTCAAATTGTATCCAATAGGTGGCAGCACTTAGAAGAAAATAAGTGCCAAATCTTATGAGCTGAACAGTTCGAAGGTTTGTAAACATAGCAAAGTTATTTATATAGTCTCGGGCTGCTGCTTTTTGCACAATTGGACCAAATTATGCTATATGATTGCAAGCACTTTCCTTGGGAAAAAGAGTTAATGTATATTTAATGTCCCGGAGCCATTTAATTTCTTGTTGGGCTGATGTACGATATATTGTAATTTAATTTTTAACTAGTACTGTATACATTTTTCAATCAGTTTGTGGAAAAATTGGCAGTCTTCATTTTGATCTGTTATAAATGTATAATTTATAACAGTCTTAAAATTTAACCATGCCACGGGAACTACTAAAAAAAAGCAGTCCCCGTGGCGAAGTGGTAAAACACTCGCCTGGCGTTTCGCGAGCGCTTTGGCCTGGGTTCGTATCCTAGTCGTCTGGGGGCCTGACAGCTGGGTGGACAACGCTTTGGATTCGTAGTCCTGAGGTTCCTGGTTCTATTCCCGGTGGAGGCGGAGACAAATGGGCAAAAATGTTTCTTTCACCCTGATTTACTGTTACCTAGCAGTAAATAGGTACTTGGGAGTTAGACAGCTGCTACGGGCTGCTTCCTGGGGGGGTGTAACAAAAAAAGAGGCCTGGTCAAGGACCAGGCCACGGGGACGCTAAACCCCGAAATTGTCACAAGAAGATCTCAAGATAGCCAGGGAGGATTTACTGGGTGCAAATCCTTAACTGTAGCCTCTGTTCACCCAGCAGTGAAAGGGTACCTGGTGGTTAAACGATTTGGGGGGTCGTATTCCGGGGAAAATTCGGATTAAGGACTTGCCCGAAATGCTATGTGTGCTAGTGGCTGTACAAGAATGTAAGAACTTGTATTCAGTATATAAATAAATAAAAATAAATAAAACAAATTGCCAATTAGTTTGGTCCTTACTATGCATGGTCAAGAAACAACATTCAAAGAGCTAGAAAAGCACTTTTGAATATCCACACTCAAATAGGAATTTCCAGATTGTTGCAGTGATTGTCTTGTCAGGTTATCAGATAAGAGAGAAAATTTATAAATTCCAATTTCTTGTTGAAAATTTTATTAAACTCGTACCACCAGTGCCAGAACTGATTTTACTTCAAACTAAAAAAAAAATGCCTCAATTTTCTTTGGTTCAAACTACTAATGCCTGAATTGGTTTTGATGCATAGCATAATTTCCTGAATGGGTTTTTGCTTATACTATAGATAGCTGAACTGTTTTTGTTTTTCATGTATGCCACAACATTCTCAGTGCTTTCTCTCTTTCACTGAACTTTTACTGGGCCACATGTAGTTTCCTTCTCAGTTAATCAGATTCCGAAGAAATGACTCTCCTTTCTCTTATACTCATAATTTTACTCAGCAAATTGAGCAGCTTTATCCATATACTGCTTAGCTAATGACTGAGTTGATGATTTATTCTTCCTCCATATTCACCTACTTTCACTCTTATCTCTTGTACTGCCTCATTCATAAACATGTTGAGCAGCCACAGTGGCAGTATGCCTCCTTGGAGCACTTTCACATTCGTCAGTTGATTCATTCGTAATAGGGTAAAGGGATTGGTCTTCTGCCACCTGAGAAAGTTATTTCTTTTCAATTGGATATCCAAATAGAATTAATAGTTTTCAGAAAGTGGTGTCAAAATGTGAAATTTCTCCTGGAGGCACTTTCAAGCTCAATAATTCCTTCATCTACACCTTTTAATGTATTCTGCAGGTCCCTTCCAGGATGGAGGTAGTATGCCCTTATGATCATACCATGCCCTCATAATTCATGGACAGTCCTTACCTTGAGGTTACCTTGAGATGATTTCGGGGCTTAGTGTCCCCGTGGCCCGGTCGTTGACCAGGCCTCCTCCAGTCTCCCTATGATTCTCGGGTATTCTACTACATGTCCACATTGA